CTTTCCTGCGCTCTTTGGGCTTCGTCGTACCGAGAACCGTTTTTCCGTAAAAGCGGAATGTGCGACATCCTACGCATCGGCGGCGAGCCGATCTTCGACGATCGTATCGTCAAGATCGAAACTCACACATACAATCCTTACGCCAATACTACGTTTGGGAATAGCGACGAGATACGAATTCCTATACAACAGCAAGATCTGTACACATTACCGTGCGATAGTTTTCTCTACATAGAAGGTAGACTCGAGTCGAAAGAGTCGCCGAGTGCGCAAGAGGAAATCGCGTCGGTGACGAGGCTGGTGAACAATTGCGCTGCGTTTATGTTCGAGGAGATTCGCTACGAGCTCGACAGTGTGGAAATCGATCGAAGCAGAAACGTTGGGATAACGAGTACGATTAAGAATTACGCGTCGCTGTCAGTCGAAAAAGGCAAGATATTAAAGAACGCCGGATGGGACTTATCGACGGTAACTCATTCGTTGATCAACGATTTCAACTTTTGCGTACCTCTCAACGTGTTATTAGGTTTTTGCGAGGATTACAAGCGTGTCGTGATCAACGCGCGACACGAACTTATTCTGATACGGGCGCGTAATGATAACAATTGTATCATATCGCGCGAAACGCAAGAACCTAAAATCGTTTTATTAAAGATACAGTGGCGAATGCCTCATATAGTGATAAACGATATTAATAAATTAAGGTTATTGCGCACGTTGGATAGCGGACGATATCTGAGCGTCGCTTCTCACTCGTGGGATCTCTACTAGTTTCCGCTTCTACAGAGCACGACTAAACATTCGTGGGCTGTCAAAGCGGCGACGCAACTCGAAAAACCGCGATACGTTATCTTCGCGCTACAGTCCGGAAAGAAGAACTTTCTATCCGAGGAGCCTTCCCTATTCGACGATTACAAACTAAATAATGTCAAACTGTATCTTAATTCCGATTTTTATCCTTACGACGACATGAATTTGGATTTCGATAAGCGCAAAGTCGCAGTGCTATTCGATATGTACTCGATATTTCGAAGAACGTACTACGGATGCGACAATGACGAAGCGTTCTTAAATCTGAATAAATTTTTAGTTTACGGCCCGCTCGTAGTCATCGACTGTTCTCGACAAAACGAGTCGATCAAGAGCGCCACTGTGGACGTTCGCATAGAGGTTGATTGCAAGGAGGACATTCCCTCTAATACCACAGCTTACTGTCTTATCATTCACAATCGAGTGGTGGAGTACAATCCGCTCACCAACGTTGTGCGCAGAATCGTGTAAGCGCGATGATATTCGAAAAAATATGAAGAGAGAATAATAGAGGCGCACACTACTGCTAATAACAACGATGGACGTACCGATTTTCGTCGATCTTCAAGGTTTCGTAGTTAACGAGAGATTCGTCGCGAAAGAAGTAGCCGTGTTAAGAAATGGCGCGGAATTGACGCATCACATCTGTCGCCGTCTTGGGATTTGCTAACGAGAGCGGAAAAATCGCGAGCGTGTTGGTTGACATCTAATCATCATCAATTAAAGTGGAATAACGGACACGTGAATTACGGGTCAATGAAAAGACTCGTTCGGGACGCCGTATGCCGAGAATCTAGCCCCGATTCAACGATAAGAATCTACGTCAAAGGTCACGAGAAGAAAAAATGGCTGATCGAGATCTTAGGAAACGTCGCTGACGATCGCGACGTAGCCGTCTCCGTCGAGACTATCGACGTTGATTACGAGGACATCGAACGTCTGGAAACGCCGCGATTCGGGCTCCTCGTCGATCGGTGACGCGACGACTCGCCTAACCTCGCGTTCGTGAAGCCTGTCGATTAATTTAGGGATGGCGAAGTCGCGATCGCGAAACTCGAATTGCTCGGGGGCTAGCGCAACGTCGCGTCGGCGAGCGTCGCGCAACGCGCTGTGAACGCTTTGCGCCTACGCGAGCATAGTCCTCGTCTTCGTCAATAGATCGTAGAGCGATTCTCGCGCCGTTCTTATACAATTTTCTATCTGTTGTCTAAACTAAAAAAGTAAAAGGGTTATTAAAAGATTATAATTTATTATAAAAAGTATTATAAAAAATGTTGATTGAATACTTACATTGAACGCGCGATATCGATGTCTCCGTCCAACTGAAAGTTGAGTCTAAACGAATCCGGACTATTTTTGATAACGCTTCGCGCCTTCTCGCGCAGATCCGAGGCGAGATCTCCCAAAACGTAGGCCTTTATCGCGATTAAATCTCCGTTTATGTTAGTATAATCGGCCGCGTTAATTATCTGCTCGATTCGTTCCATATCGAGCAGTTCGCGACCGATTTTAACTTTCGCTATTTCACACCTCGCCACTTTGCTCTTCACCGTTTCGCGCTTCGTCGCCTCGTCACTTCGCTATTTCGCGAGCGAGAATACTTTGACGCTTCTCGAAATGATTTCGCGTTTATAAGGATCGACGCGCGGATGCCGCGGTACGGGCGGAGATAAACGAGTAATAAAAATATATTATAGAGGAAAATAACAAAGAATAATGCGATAAGAGGGACTCGAGCGCCTGCTAAATAACGCGCATCCCGGATACGCGATGAATGTTTATCGTTGCCGGAAGGGGTACGTTTCTCTAATCGCTCGTCGAGTGTCCTTCTTAAAGGATAAACGAATAATAAAAATAGAAATAATAAAAAAAGTAAAACCGCGAGAGGAATTCGAGCGTCCGTTAGATAACGCGCGTCCCGGACGCTCGATATTCGCTCGTCGTCGAAAGGGCGCGTCCCTCTAATCGAGGCGGACCGCGACTTTTCCTCGAACGAATCGTCGACGCATTTCCCCCTTCCCCCACCCGCGTTGAATTCGCCGACGATAAAAATAGGCGTCTCGCCGAACGCGCGAATCAATCGCGCCCGGCGTCTCTCGATAGTTTCCCGCGTCTTTTCCCGCTCCGCGCGATGACTAACGCGAAGACGGTTTTTCTCGGAGCGTCGCGCCAATCGACCCCGCGCGCGCGGATCTCTGCGCTTTGCGACGCGTGGACGCCGCGCTGATAATGAATCACCGATTATATATAGCTAATCGCCGCAATGTGTGGTCGATCGACGTGATCGAGATACGCTACGGTAGGCCCATGACGCTCACGGATTACGCGGTGTTTCTCCCGGCAAATTTCACGCGCCTATCCGCCGCGTATCGAAGATCCTCGGGCGATCTCGCGATATTCGCGGACGATTCGATCTACCTCGCGGAATATCCTAGCCTTAAGCTAAAATCGGGTTGGCCGAGATATCTCCACGATATCGGACTTCCTCGAAATGTTAAGATTAACGCTGCGATAAACACGCACACGGGACGAACCTACGCGATCTACGACGACGACAAGGTAGCGGAGATTGATGAGTGCCGCATGATAGTCATTAGACACGCTCCATTAAAAGATATATTTCCCGGAATACCGCCCGCGATAACGTCAGCCTTTCGATATATCGACGGCAATCTATATTTCGTCGCCAAATGACTAGAGCGACTCTGCCGTCATTTTCAAAAAATAGAATATAAGAGAGGACGCGCGCGAAAGGGGAAGAAGCGATCTCTACGCGAGTATATAAAGACCATCAGTTAAGCGCTTCATTGTCGACGGAGAACGCCGAAGCCTACGAACGAAAAAACGAGCGATAATGTACGCAACAATGGGTGGGCTACCGCAACAGCAGCACTCGTTTGACGATCGATCGAGGCTAACCGAGCGAGACCGCGAGGATAGCGCGGGATACGCTAAAAGAGCTAAACAGGACAATGGGTAAGACTATTAAACATTTATTCGAACTAATAATCCGCTAGCGTCGTTTCTCTTATCGCCCGCATTTTCAGACGACATCGTGACCGGACGCCTAGACGCGACGCGGATATTTCAATTGCGCGACCGCTCAGAATCTTAGGAAGACGCTACCCATTGACCAAAACTGCGTACAAACATCTCGAAGTCAGCGTTAACGTTAGTCGACCCTCTTTTGTGGAGATCGTCCTTGGAGATTGCCATGACAAGGAGATCTCGCTAACGCCAGATATGTGGAAGGAACTGCTCGATCTACGATCTACGCTTCTATCGTATTTTCGCTCCGACGAGCGCGATGAAACGCGTCCTCCGGCGCCGATATACATCGAACAGTTAACGCTGCGATTCGGCAAACTCAACAATCTCCGAATACTCCGTCTCGAAACACCCAAGGTTCGTCTGGCCGTATCGAAGAGCACCGTTCTAACTTGATTAAATCTAGAACTTTGCGTCAACCGCATCGTTACATCTTTAAGCGGTTTAACCGCGCATGTGGATAACAAGCTGACTCGTTTTCTCGATACCGCGGCAGGCGCTCACGATTCAGCGCTTATTCCCGCGATGATACGCGATAACGAGAACTTCGACCGCAACGATATCATCGATTGCGAGCTGCAGGCTCTGCTCTTCGGAGAATCGTGATACGCTTATTCGCGTACTCGTATTATCGCATTATTTATATATATCAAATATTGTATTATTAATATATTAAAAATGTAAAAAGAAACAATAAAAACGCTTCTCCTCTCGCGCGAAAAAACGATCTCTCGTTATTCCACGACCTTTCGACGATTCGCTATCTCGCTCGAGCGATAAGCGCGCTCGTATCGCCGCTAACCGTTCCTCTCTCCGTCTCCCTTAACGCCGGATACCCGGCGTCCGTTCGCGGATCGCGCGCTAGAAGCGACGCGCGTCCCTAAAGAATCGCGATAGCGGATCGCGCGCTAAAAGCGGCGCGAGGTATCGCCGTCGCCTCCTTAAGGAACAAGTCGCGCCAAGGTCAAGTCGCGCCAAGTCGAGTCGCGCCGGGAGAAATCGCAACCTCGATCGAGTCGAGCGTCATCTCCCGGGCGATCTCGTCGATTTCGTTGGACGTCTAGATAGAAAAACTTGTGTATGTGTTCGCGCACTTCGCCACCGTTTTCCATGCGCTGGAGTGTCAGCTGCTTCAACAACGTGGCTTTGCGGGCTGGTCCTTTGGATTGATATATGAGTAAGTGAGATAGGCCGCCGGTAGCCCATTTTACCCATGAGAACGAGAGGGACAGACAGAGAGATAGAAAAGGATGGAGATATGGATTAGAACACTTTGTAGATGACCGAGGGTGGACGTGAGGGCGGGGGGGGGGGGGAGCAGGGGGGATACGTAGGGCGAGTCGGGAAGCGCCACCCCCGATCAAGCCGAGCGCCATCTCACGGACAACCTTAGCGACTCGTACCTGCTCCCTCCTGTGACGTCACGCGCTCCCCTGACCCCCCACCCTCTCACCGCGCTTCGCCCCCGGCCGCGCTTCCCGTCTCGCCCTACGTATCCCCCCTGCTCTCCCCTCGGTCCGCACTTCCCCCCTCGGTCATCTACAAAGTGTTCTAATCCATATCTCCATCCTTTTCTATCTCTCTGTCTGTCCCTCTCGTTCTCATGGGTAAAATGGGCTACCGGCGGCCTATCTCACTTACTCATATATCAATCCAAAGGACCAGCCCGCAAAGCCACGTTGTTGAAGCAGCTGACACTCCAGCGCATGGAAAACGGTGGCGAAGTGCGCGAACACATACACAAGTTTTTCGATGCAGTTGATAAACTAGGTGAGATGGAAGTAGATATTAATCCTGATTTATTATCGATTATGTTGCTTTACAGTTTACCATCCAGCTATGATAATTTTCGATGCGCAATAGAGTCCCGCGACGAACTGCCAACTCCGGAGACACTGCGAATAAAAATTATCGAAGAGAGCGACGCAAGAACGAACGATGCAACTCGCGCAAACGTACAAAACGCATTATACGCAAACAAAGGCGGAAAGAAGATGCGGAAACCAAAGCAACCTGTCGCAAAGAAGAGCGACACAAATTCCGTTGGCGAATTTAAATACCGCTGTCATCGATATGGAACAATGGGATACAAAGCCGCGGAATGCACCAAGAAGCGAGACAGTGATCGCGAAAGTGCAAAGAAGAGCGAAGAAACGTTTTTTACGCTTCAGTCAATTCACGCGAGGAACACCGTGCGCTCCGTGCGACCGGCACGAATCGCGGCGGCCGATGGTGCTTGGATAGTGGCGCGACTTCACACTTGAATAACTCAACTCGTGATTTCGTCGTGATCGAAGAAGCCAACAACATCGAGCTGAGCTTAGCTAACAACAGCTCGACTAACATACTTGCGAAGGGCGAAGTTCTGTGTAGCGCCGACGTTCTTGGTAAGGTTAAAAATTTTCGATTACAGAATGCATTAC